TTTTTTGTGGGTTTTTTTGTGTGTGTTTGTCTTTTTTTTTTTTTTTTTTTTTTTTTTTTTCATAAAAAGCAAGAGGTAGTCCCTTCCAACTTCAAAAGTTAAAAAAAGGAACTAAATCTCAGGTTATTGTACTTCCCACTTCTGTTAGAACTAGCTACCTATTCAATACTTACTGAGAACCTGAACATTTTTTAGCCTGGTTGTTCTGATACCATTTTAAACCAGGAAGCAGTGGGTAGCATAAGTCTGTTGTACACCAGGAGAAATCAAGATACAAACTAATGCTATGACTCAGGGGCATTTAGGTCTACTCAACAGAACTTCCATCACTGTCCCACCTTTAAATTATGTTGGGCCATTAATTGTTGTAAGATTCTAAAAACAAAAAGGAGAGGAATCGAGACCTGAGGATAAATCAAACATGGGGTTCCGTCTGGCATATAAGTACATATTGAGGGGTTTCATTCACTTTCTAAACTAAATTTCACTCTTTTTAGTCTTTTAAACTTTCACTTCTTCAATCGAGGCAGTTTAAGGGTGGGAATAACAGGCAGTGCCCAGGTATACAATCCAAAGTCCACTTAGGGAAGTCCTTTTCCCTGAGTTTTTTCTACACCACCATGATGAGATTCCGCCAGTAGAGATTAGAATCCACTCTAGCTTACAGTTATCTTTCTTGTTTTGTTTTTTGAGACAGGGTCTCATTATGTACCTCAGGCTGGATTTGAATTCATGAAATCCTCCTGCTTCAGCCTTCAGAGTGCTGGGATTACAGATGTGTACCACCATGCCCACACCCAATTACTTGTAATTCTTTACCTCTTTTCCCTAATGGAGAATAGCCCGCATACACTGCTGCCGTTTCAGAGCCTCCCTTCAGGCTCATCTCTTCACTCCCTACCGGGACTCCTGACAGGTGTATCACCCCACACCTGCCTTAGCCTACTCCGGCCGCCATAACAATGTGCCACACACGAGGAGGCCTACACAAACCAGTTAATTTCCGCAGAATTCTGGAAGCCGGAAGTCCAGATCGAGGCATCAGCTAGTGGGCTCCTTCGCAGGCCTCACACTGTGGGCTACAGAGGCCGCTTTCTCTGTCATCACTTGGGCTTTTCTCCGCGCATGTCTACGACTTGATTTCCTTTTCTTATAAGGACGCCACTCCTCCTGGACCAGGGCCCATTCTAGTGACTTCGCTTTAACCTTAGCGCCTGTTTGAAGGCCCTCTCTCCCAGTACGGTCGCTCTCTGAGCTCGAGGGCGTCAAGATGCCAGCGTCTGAGTCAGAAGTACACAGTTCAGCCCACAACAGACCTGACTTTAAAGGAGCCCCTTCTAAGGGCTTGGTCCTCTCCTAACCACTGCCCCTAAAGCCATTTCTCGTTGCCTTGTTCAGAGACAGGCTTCTTGAGGGTCTCAAAAAAAAAAAAAAGAAAGAAAGAAAGAAAACATGAGGCAGGACACAGGAAACTAACCGGGAGACTAATCTCTCAGGCTGCTCGCGAGTGTGTTGGTTTCCTCAGCGTTAGAACTGGGCCCCCTGGGGATGCTCTGAACTGACCACTGAACAGGGACACTACATCGGGCCTCTTTGGTGACAGGCATGCCGTGCTTTTCTGAGAAGCTGGAGGCCCAGGGGAGGAACGGCCTTCCATCAACAGCTGCCGACCAGGGCAGCTGACGATACACGACACATCTCAGAATTCGAGGGGAAAACCAGCCCTGCTACAAAAATCCAAACAGAAGTCCTGTTCCCCTCCTGACTGAATCCTGGGGATTACAGAAACCCGAAGCTGGCAGCTGCTGGCTGGGTCCCTAGTTGAGGCGACCCTTCAGGGTCCACATCGGGTGTCAACACCTGGGGCACCAGCCTGCACGAAGAATGGCCTTCAGTCAGGGCCGTGCTGAGTTACTCACGGCTCTCTCCCCCACATAATCAAGGTATTCATGGAGTTGCGTCATCCTAGGGCCCACTCTGAGGAGCAACACAAGGCTTTTCAGGCCTTCCTTTCCCACCTGTCTGAGAGAATTGGGCCCCCGGGTGCTGGAAAGGGAGGCTTCTGCTCCCACACCACTTCCCTTTCTTCACCTGCCCCCCTCACTCCACACCAGGCTCTTCTTCGACTTCAAAACATAAAGGCGAGTTCTATTCAGTCAGTGACCACAGCAAACCGGAGCGTCCTCCCACTGCCTGCAGAGCCAGGGCCGGGTGGCCGTCCCACACAGCCTCCTAGAGTCAGGGGGTCAGGCCCAGCCCCCAGTTTCTGGTCAGCTACCCTATCTCATGACAGTCCTTCACTCCAGCAGAGAAATGCTCCTGTGTCTTCTCTCACTCTCCGTGAAAGAAAGGATAAGATCTGTGCCTCTGGGAATCCTTCTAAACAGGCGAGGGGTGATGTATTTCAGCAGGATAATGTGGGACTCCACAGAGAAAGGTCTCCTCTGGCCCACCGTTCTCCCACAGAGGGGGGCGGGCAGCGCTGGTCATCACACCAGGGACCCCCTGTGCTGACCACAAACGCGTACCCTAGGCACGACTGGCCGAATGCCTTGACCATTTTTGCCTCTTCAGCACGTACCTAAAATTACGGTTGCACTGTTCTGGGAATATGGACTGCTATGACTGGAATGCGTGCCCTACACATTCAGGAGCTGGAAGCTTCATCCTCACAGCGTATGTTACTGGTATCTGGAGGCGGGGCCTGTGGAGGTGATTAGGACGGCGTGAGGTGGGGCGGGCAGGGCTCCCATGATGGCTGTAGCAGCTTTACAAGGATGGGAAGGAAGCCAGAGTGACAGGTTTGTTCTGCGCAGACATGTGAGCGTCTCTCCACGATATGATACAGCTGGAGGACCCTCTCCAAATGCTAAGCAAATTCCAGTGCCACACTTTGAGGCTTCCCAGCCTCCAGAACCTCTAAATAGACCTCTTCTTTATAAATTACGCAGCCTGTGATATTCAATTATAGCGACAGAAAACAGACGAAGACGTGCTTCTTTTGAAGTTACCCATCTGCTAGGTTTCTGAGATGCCAGTGCTCTGTGCCCCTTTCCAGTGCTCCTCAGAGTCCTGCGGCCCGCGTGAGCAGCAGCAGCCTTGTACAGCGGTACCCCAAAACTGCACGCTCTCTTTGAGATCTCCCGCTGTGACCGTGCCCTGAGGCTCCTTTCCCAACCCTAGCACTCGTCAAAGCCCGTCCCCTCTCAACCCTGACAGCCCTCTCACAGTCACCTTATCATCTTTCGCCTTTCACCACCAACTTTCTGCCTTCTCTTGCCCCCCGAAAGGGTGAAAAAAGTCTCTTTCTTCAGCCATTGCAAGGTTTATGGCTGAGCCTCCTATAATAAAAGACAGATTAACAAGAGAAAAGTATAACTGATTTACTTAGTAAAAGTTTTATGTGACACAGGAGCCTTCAGAAATAGACTCAAGAAACTGGGAAATCTGTATTTTATTCCTCCCTCCGCTGCTTTTTTTTCCCTCTGCTTTTTTCTCCTCACACTCAGGTCTTCGTGCATGTTAAGCAAGTGCTCTATCACTGCGCTACACTCCTAGCCCAAAATCTATGTGTTTTTAGGAATAGTCACGCAGAACCACGATTAGAGGACCAAAGACCTGGCTGAACAATGACTAACTGGGGAGCTGAATAAAGCCTATTAATTTGGAATCTTATTTCCACCCCTGTGGGATCCTTCTCTTTGGGCACAGGGCAGGACACCTGTCGCTTTGGGAGAGAGAGGAGAAAGAGAGAGTTACGTGACCTGCTTCAGAGGAGGAAGAGCAGCGGGGAGTGACCTCCCCGCTCTGCCATTTTCTAAAATGCCAAGGTGTCGTGTCTCTGGGTAACGTGTCTTGAACCCCTTAGTCTCCCAGCAGGTTCGCTCCGTGAGTGAGGTGCTGAGGGACTGTGTGAGTGGCCCGGCTTCCTCGCAATCAAAGAGCTTCAGGTCCCCAGGGGTGCAGACCAGCACAGGGGCAGAAACAACCACACAGCATATCAGCGCATTCCAAGTGTATGCACGGCGTGGTCTTTAGGCTGAGCTTCGGAGACCAGCAAGATTTTTACCAGAGCGGGATGAGAACGGCTTGAGCAAAAAGCTGCACCCAAACAACAGAGGAAGAATTCTGAAAACAGCAGCCACAACATCAGAGCAAAGGGCAGAGCAAGGGGTTAGAGGGAAGCAGAAATTCGGGGTCGGCCAGGGACTGTGAACGTAGAGAGGCTGGTCCAATCTTTGTGAGCTAGCGAACGTTTTTGATGGGACTTGGCTGTGAGACCTCATCAGAGAGCAGAAACACCTTACAAACTTGGCCTTGTCTCCAATGTTTCTACTTATTAATAAGAAAGATACTCATTAGTACCACTGCTACATGCCCCACAAATTCTTTGAACAAGGTATAGACCCAGCCTCTGTTTGTCCTCTGTAAAGCAAAGCAAACCTTAGGGTGAGGGGTGGGTCATTTCTCTAGGCATTTCCCACCTCTCAAAAATTTAGGAGCTGCTCCAGCAGTATCGAAGGGGCCTGGCACCCACCCCATCCCCGGCACCAGTGCTAGCCCAGCGTGACTTTTTAGAGCACTGGGTCATCGTGTAACGATCTGGAAGTGGCTGCCGGGGAGGCTTCTTAGCCAGAGCACACAGGCTCTTGCCGCTCCTGGGAGGCAAGCCCTGGTGAAATGGAAGGCCTTCAAGATAGCAAACAACGCCGGCAGGGGAGAGCGGGCCCCAGCTAGGTGGCCAGCCTCGGTGAGCACTGAAATGTCACACTGCCTTGGCACATTCCGATCCTCCTGTTTCAGTTAGGAGACACTTTTCACTTATTTAAAGGCGTCCAGCTACTGCTAGCCTGTAACATCTCTTTGCCGAGCAAGAGGAAAAAACCCATGTGTTTAAAATATGTTTCGATATCCTTCTGGTCCCCAAATCCAATGGCTTATTTTTCAATTACCTGAAAATTGTTTAGCAAAAAAAAATTATGGTATGTAATTTATCTCTTACTGCATTGCTTTAATAAGGCATTTTCCCCAGCAACCCCATCCACCAGCGAGGGTCCCTGGAGTGGATATGTCTTTTACTGAAGGAAGCTTCAGACTGGGGTCAGGAACTGCTGCACCTTTCTCTTGGTTGTCTTGGGTTCTTGGTTTCTCTTTCTTTTTCTTTTTTTGGTTTCTCCTTCTGAAAGTGGGATATATATATAATGTGTTGTAGTGAATGAAGTAAGTCTAAAAAATATTTTGAGACCCAGGTATGAAAATTACTAGGTCCAGAGCCAGATGTAGCTCATCTTCACAGAAATATGCATCTTTTCAAGTTTTATGCAACCTAATTTTCTTTTTTTTTTTGCAGCGTTCGGGATGGAAACCAGGGCCATGTTCCTGCTGGGCAAGCACTCCACTACTGAGTGACATCGCCAGCCTCGGAACCTTCTTACTGACCAAAGCATCCCACACTTTTTTTTTTGGTCTTTTTGAGACAGGGTCTCGCTATGCAGTTCAGGCTGGCCTTGAACGCACTTTGTAGCCCAGGCTGGTCTCGAACTCACAACAATCCTCCTGTCTCAGCCTCCAGAGGGCTGGGATTACAGGCATGCACCACCACGCCCAGCTGGATCTCACGCTTTGTAGGTACCTTTAAGTGAATGCATTCATGAAGTGAAAAAGCATTTTGCCCTCTTAGAAATGTCCCAACCATTTGGATTTTCTTAAAACAAGATCTACCCCAAGGGGAGCTAGGAGTGAAGTACTCGGTACTGTGTGCCGTGCTCGCGGAGTTAGTGGGCCCCTTGTCTGTGCGTACTGAGCTCTGGAGTCTGACTCTGCGCTCACTTCAGCAGCACATGCACTGAAATCAGAGTCTGGTATTGATTGCTTACCTTCTTCAACTCATGGACCTGGTCAGGCCTGTTCCTCTTTGGAGCTCATAAGTTCTTCTAGGAGAGGAAGAAGGGAAGTCAGTGAAAACTAAATGAGTTAATTTTGCTATTTTTACTAAACTTGGGAAGTGGGATGAAAGAAAAGCCCAAATCGATTATGGAATTGTATTTGTAGATAAATTATCACTGCTACCCTCAGACAGGATAGGAAAATGCACACATTTAAATGCCCCATTGATAAGAATTACTCTCCCACCATAATGCAGTCTATAAGGACGGCCCGTGGGCTCTGGCCAGGACAGTTAGGGAAATCCTGGGGCCAGCTCTGCCCCTATCCTGCGAAGGACAGCAACTGTGTAGCAGGAATCCTGGAATTCAGCTCTTTGCTGCTTCTGTGGTTTTGCTTGAATGAAGGGCCTTTGTCTGTGTGGAAGAGATGAGGCTTTGCCTGTGTTAGCTTCACTCAAGAATTACTCTGCTTTAGATTTATTTGATATATGGAAGCACAAAATCTTTCCGTAAGTACATCACAGTACTTTTGAACATTTGAGAAAAATACTTTGATGCTTCTTCAAAAATTCTAATAGACTTTTGTGTAACTATCAGCCTTTTGCTTGTATTTTTTGTTGTCCCCGTAGCCCTCCCTCTTAGTAGCCCATCAGCTGCCTCTACTCCTATGAATATTTAATAGGGTGAGTTTCCACATTTCTAATGAGATTTCCACACTTCTAATGTTTATTACTATTCCTTCAACTCTCATAAAGGTTGTGCTTTTTCCCAGTACTAATTTAATAACTCTGAGAATAGTCAACAGTACAAGCACAAATCCCTTAATTGGCTCTACAGAGAGAAAATGTATGAAAAAGGTACTGTTACAACAGACAGCCACAGAATCATGCGGGGCAGCTCCAGCACAACGGAAAGAGCACGACTGGCTTTAGAATGATCGCTCTGCCTCTTGCTGCATGGGTGAGTTTGAGTGGGTTATTGAGCCCCTTTGAGCCTTAGTTTTCTCATCTATAAAATGGAGATCATAATACCCTTCTAGGTTTCTATGAAAATTAAGCGTTTATGAATGAGTTTTGTATACTATAAAATGACAAAGTGTTACATTATTTATACCCCTATGATTTTTAAAGAGCTTAAGAAAGAAGTTGAGGGTCTGAGATAGACAATTATGAGGCAAAAGAAGGTGGGTGCTGAGCCCTTAGTATTGCTAAGTGCAAGCTGCCCCGGAATACTAACATATATGAAGAGTAGGCACCTAACTCCACGGGTCAGCGTCCTGTGTATTGATCCAAACATCTCCATGGCCTCCAACTTCTCAAGTCACTATTAGATGTAACGGCAAAATAAAACATGCTGCTGGGGATGTGGCTCAGTAGCAGAGCACTTGCCTACCAGGCACGAGACTGAGTTTGACTGTCAGCACATGTGCGCACACACGCAAAGACTGAGCAGTCAGAATAGTATAGTCCGGAGCACTCGCCCCAATTTCTCTGACACAGTCAAGAGCGAGGGGGTTCGCTTTCTTGTCCACACTATCATTGACTTCTTGGCTGTCTTCCAAACCACCACACCCAGCGCTATGTTAGCCTCGGCTTGCCACCCTGAAAATGATGGGACGTGGCTCTCTTCCTTCACCCAGGAACTGCTGACACCAGGCTGATGTCACTGCGGCCTTGGGAGGAGCAGAGGGAATGAATACATGCTGCGTAACTCTTCCAGATGAGTACCAGACACCGCTGATCTCCTAAAACCTGGGCTACCTCGCACGTACAGAGCACAGTACACCCAGGCTTTCCTTAAGCTCTGGATTACGCTCGCCAGCCCTCCCCTTCCTTGTCCTTTCTAGGCTCTTCTTCGGGGTCCCAATAACCCTCTTGAGATTGTTTTTCTGTTTCTGTCTCATGAGGAACAGTTTAACCTGGTTTTTGTGTGTTTGCTTTGGGGTTTTTGTTCTGTCATTGCTAATCTTCTCCCATTTGAGCGTTCCAGAGAGAAGCTTGCCCTTCACAGCCAAACAGGGACGAAGGATGGACGAGTGAATGTAACGACCGTGGTGCTCACACACAGTTAAAACAAGCTTTCCAAGCAGAACCGGAGGAGGCGCTCAGCTTGTTACAGGAGGTGACGAATGCCCAGCAGTGGAGATTTCTCAGGCAGTCATCCCCAAGGCAACATCTCAGGCCAGGACCGCCTTTGCCCAGGGAGGGTTGACTGAGCTCTGTGCTAGAGAGTCACCTTTAGGAAGAACTCAGATGGCATGGAGGATCCAAATTGCTAGATAAATGCAAAGGAGGATGAGCACTAGGAAAAGACAGTATGGCTTTAGAAATAGTTCTCAGAACATAGCCCAGATGACAGGTTTAGCAAATGAATGGGAGGTGAAACGGTAAAGCCAATAGACATATTTGGCCTGCTACACTCTTTTGTGAATCATTTTCTTTCTCTCTCTCTCTTTTTTTTTTTTTTTTTTGTCTTTTTGAGACAGG